AAGATCTCCTTCAGATCTTATACAATTCATGTAACTGTCCAGAATTAAAACCTCATTCTTCGTGATTTCACCACATACTGAAATGTGCAATCCTTTATGTAAATCTGATACCCTTCTAAACCCATCCATTTGACATTTCCCTGAATGATTCTTTTGACGAATTGGACGAGGAGGATTTCTTAATTGGAATATGTAGTGGGAGAAGGGATGGGGCCCATAAGATCTTTTGGATTTGGACGTTACATCGAGAAGTGATTCAATATTAAATGGAACACTTTTCTTCTCCGAATCTTCTATTGGAATCAGATGTTGCAAGTATAATTTTATGATCGTTTATGACAGTTGTTGAACAAGCAACCCGCCGTGACGTTTTTGCACAAGAAAGCCGCATTGGAGTTCACCAAGGCTCGTATGAACCAGGATTAGTCTAAGGTTAGAAAGCAACTTAGGTGTAATTAATATTTCTCGTTTAGATCATCTTTTCCGCTGAGAAGAGATGGCATTTGGATGACCACGATGGCGTTGACTACGATGGGTGGGATCGAGATCCGATGGTGTTTGGGACTCGAAACCTTGGCGGTGGTTCTGTGATGGTTCGGGCCGCCTTCTGTGCTGATGAAACGGTCGCTCTGAAGATGGTTTTGATTTGAATTTGAATGCAATTCACTTCCAAGATTTCCATTTTCTAGATTTTGTATCCCAGAATCGACTATCATTTTCATTCTGTGTATTTACGGATTAGGAAAACAAATTCCTTTTTTTTGCATCAGTTTCACAAAAGTTATCACAAATTTTCATATCAAGGCGATCATCGCCTTGGTATAACTTGTTATGATATAACTGGGCATAACCAATCTTGCGACATTTGAATACGAAAACGCTATTCGATATGGTTTTGACAGAAAATTTGTGATAACATTTGTGAAATTGATGCAAATAAAGGAATTTGTTTTCCTAATCCGTAAATACACAAAATAAAAATAATACTCGATTCTGGGATACAAAATCTAGAAAATGAAAATCTGGGAAGTGAATTACATTCAAATTCTACATACTCGCACGACCTTTACCTTAAAAGTTAAAAAGTTTAGGTTTTGAAAAAAATAAAACACCCTCCAATATAATATTTTCTCATTAAGAGAGATATCGAGAAAACAGAACTTCAAAAAATAACAATTGTACAGAAATCTTTATTGCCTTAAAATTTACATTTATTTTCATGCCAATTAGGCGTCTAAAACTAATTGCTATGCGAAAATATGACGTGTTTGTTTTTTAAGATTACTAGACTTGGCTAGAACTCGTTCGCTTTTTTTATGATATGCCAGAATCGAGTTTATTCAGACACGATGTGGAAAACCGTCAAGATTGTGCAATAGGTAACAAGAGACAGTTAAAAATTTATGGAAATGGTTGTCCTTTCTCAAACTCACTAGGAAGCTTTTGACATGTTGTGTGTTGTCGATGCCGCCGCTCTTAATGACAATTGGTGCCGCTTTAGAAACGATTCCATCTAACCGTGTCTTCTTTTGAAGAAAATCTCTGCATCAGTCAGTCGATTGCACGCTTCGTTCCATTTGCTTTCTTTCGCTCTTTTCAAGAATCCATATCCAATAATAAACAATAACAACAAACATAATAAACACGATTAGGACAACTACAAATCTAAACCATACACTGGGGTTCTAAAATAGCATCTAAACCGCAACATCGAGCCGTCGTTCGTTCGATCTTTTGACTCGTTAACCTGTTTGTTATCTAGTTTTGTTGTTTTGAATATCAATTTATAAATTTAGAAAAAATTGTTTTGTTTGTAAGAGTTTTTTTTTGGAAAAATACTATATATTTTGTCGTTTTTATAATCCTTTTCCATTCCCTCTAATAGTACGGCAGTCTAGGAGGGGGTTCAAAAGAATAGTACGGCGCCGTACTATTAGAGAGAATACGGTACTTCAGAAAACTAGCATAGTGCAACCGTTTATTTACACCCGATTAGCCCAATTTTGGTATCATTGACTGAGCCTTGTGATCCCTTAAGAGGAACACATTCTAATCAACTATCTACAAGTACAGTCAACTCTCGATTTAACGACTTGGTTGCAAAAGTCTGTTCAGCGTCAAGGAGGAAGGGATACGATTGTAAATATCAATACTTTATTCATGTAAGCATGAAAAAGTGACAACGGAACATGTTTAATTCACAAAATGACACATAGTAAATTCATTGAACACAAGAAGAGAAGAACTGTAGAGATCGAAGAATATATTAATTCTATTCAAATTCAAACTAGCATCTAGCTAAATTCAAATGCAAATCTAAATTTAAATTCGAAGTTGTTAAATGAATGAATGATAAATCTGAATTCAAGCACTATCTTTAACTACTTTACACTTGATCCAACCAAATCAAGCGAGATTCAGACAAGTACGATCTCGATGGCCCTTGACCCAGCACTGTATCGACTTCTGATGACTTTCTAAAAGGATGGCTGCTCAATTTGTTTCAAGAATCTAATACTTGCAGTATCCATTCAACTTAAACTCTAACACTTTTTTAAAGAGTAAATTTTTAAAAGTAATGATAAATCTGAATTCAAGCACTAACTTCAAAACAATTTACTGAACTCCTAAGAAACAATAATGTTATAAGAAAATTGTAAGTTAAAAAAACAAAAGTTAAGGCAAACAAGCATTACTTTTTTACAAATTTTGTTCAAAACCTTAAACTGTAAAGTGATGTTTGTTCTCAACTTTGTTCTGAAACTATAGCTGATTAGAGCTGTTCATTTGTCGGTCTGATTGTCAATTAGTGTACAAGGGAAATACGATTTGACAAGGTACAAGGGAAATACGATTTGACCACTTCAACGGCTACGTTTTAGAAAATGAAGCTTTGAAAATTCCACCTTCGTGCAATAAGAAATGCCGCAAAAGTTGGCGTTAAGTGGTCAAATCTCGTTTCTCCGTTGCACACCTATTGACAACCAGACCGAGAAATGAAAAGCTCTATAACGTACGATCAAGTTTTGAGTAAATTTCAAATCAAATCCGGAAAAGACCATAATCCTGACTCTTAATACCGCAATCTTGACCGTAGCACCATAATCTGTACTTTTATTTTTGATCTGCTTATTGATGACTCGTTTAAACACGCCAAAAGATTTAAATAGTACATAGATTAGATAAAACTAGAGTCAAGATTATGGTAGTTTTGAAAATTGATATGAATTAGAAATCAGAAAAAACACAAGCCTTACTTCAATCGTTTCACAAAGAAATACATGAATTTCGCTTCGCTCTCGAATCCCATGCAAAATCTCAAATCATCCACGAAATCACTCTTCCGAAAGCACTGTACTGAAATGAGGTTCCTAATTTTCTCATGCGTTCTTTCTCTCATTTCCAGCTCCCTTTTTCTGCAAATCTCGATATCTCCCTGATGTTTCAATAAACGATAGGGACAAATATTGGAAAGTTGTAACTTCTGTAGAAGTGAGATAGAGAAAGATTCTTGTTGTAAGATTTATGAAAAGATCCATTTTTCAGTGAAACAATAGCAGTGAAACATTCCATGTCCATGTTTCAAAGTCCATGGTCGTTTCGACGATTAGTACTCGCTAAAAGAGAAATTTACTTTATCAACCCGTTTTCCGAATAAACCGTTAAATAAAATTTTGTAGTGAAGCAAACGATTGATTTTTCAGAGTTGAAAATTCTCTTTTCGACCGAATTTTTCCAATATTAACCCTTTCGACTCATTGGGAATCGTTGAGAAGGGAATCGATACCAAATTTGGCATTACTGAATAGCTTTTACAAATAATATATTTAGATATTCATTTAGAAATGTTAGCCAGTTTAGAGCTTAGCCGGGAAAGTAAAAAGTGGCGGGAAACCAATTTTCGTTCTGGGAAAGGGAAATCCCTCGTTGAAGCGACGCAGACGACGCGAATGTGTCCACATTTCGTGTGTCTCGTAGGAAAAACGGTATCTGGCACATAGCCCTTTAAGATAGATCGACCGAGAATTCGCATTTTAGTTTAATTACCCAAGTTTGAGATTTGCTTTAACCCCAAGATCCTTCAAAAAGTGTCTTGAGAAAATTTTGAAATCCAGTCCATAAAGGGGATGCACAAAAATGTGGGAGTGGAAAGTGAAAGGTTTTTTTTGCTGTGAAAGCTTACTTTTTCTTTATGAAGATAATTCGTCAGTACACAAAACCGAACTTTTGATGGGTCACCTTGTGACTTTCTCGAATGAAAGAAAAGCACATTTATCGGGATGGTTTGGGATGAATCGTGTTTCTTTGATCAAAGCCCCACTATTTTTACCGGATCTAAATGTGATCGAGAATCTATGAGCCTATTTGAAATTGAGATTGCGAGAAAAAAGATTCAATCCCCAGGTGAACTCCAATGGGGCCTTCTTGTGCAAAAGTGTCACGGCCGGTTGCTTGTTCAACAACTGTCGATCTTATTGTGGCTTTTCCCTGTGGGGGGAGGGTTATTAATCGCGGCCGGCGGACCATTCAAATTTTTTTGAATTTTTTTAAGATTCTCCTTTTCCCAAAACCCAGTATCAATCAATATGGGAATGCAGTGGAGAGAAGAAAGAAATAAGACATCCCTTCCTTGCAAAAGCAAATGCCAAAGCCTGTTGACAACTGCTAGGCAAGTGTTAGGCTTTTTACCTCTCACCTTCTAGCCGCCTTTTCAGTCTTCATTTCGTTTCCTTTTTGTATATCAACTTTCATTCATTCATTGAATGAACTCATGAGATTCAGTTTATTATGATCATATCCCTCTCATTTCCAAAACCCAGGATCAATCAATATGGGAATAGAGTGGAGAGAAGAAAGAGACAAGACATCCCTTTCTTGCAAATGTTTTTGCCCTCACCTTCTAGCTGTCTTTGTAATTTTCATTTCATTTTTTTATATCAACTTTCATTCTTTCATTGAATGAACTAATGAGATTCAGATTCAAAGCCTTATCTGTGGAAATGGCATCACCCAATCCATCTGGTGAACGTTATATTGGGCAAGGAGCATATGGAAAAGTGTATGAATTGATTGGACACGAACCGTTGGTTATTTTGGATCTATTCACTGCTATGTTCAATATTAAGTCTTTTGTAGAGGTTGCATTGTACCATAAGTTTCTTTGTTTAGCCCAGCTGTGATCAAATATATGCATTGTGGCAATGAAGCACAATTGGAGTTCTTCAAAAAAGAATGTGAAGCTTTGAAGCAGATCTATCATGAAAATCTTGTCCGATTGTATCGATACACAGAAGAGGGAATAAAAGTGGGGATTGTAATGGAATATTGTCAGAGAGGAACACTCAAGGAAGGTTGGGATTGGACCGGTATTGTTAGATCTTGGAGTTTAGTGATACTTGATCCAACAATTACATATTCAATGAACACCGTTCTCACATGGGGAATCCAATTATTTGATGCCATTGATCACATGTATCAGAAACATCAAATGGTACATCGAGATATCAAACCAGAAAAGTAATATTCAGTGGTATAAATGTCGAAGTACAATTCATTTATAGGATTTTTGTGACCAATGAATACCAGCTGAAGATTGGTGACTTTGGATTGGTAACAGTGGTGGAAGATGAAACTGTTAAGGGGACGTTTATTGGAACACTACGATATATGAGTCCACCTGATATAAAGGTGTATGGGGTACAACGGGATGTTTATGAACAATTAAAGGAGGCTGATGTATCGGTTAGTTTTACATTCTTTTCTATCCAATGATAAGACATATTCATTTCAGTGTTCCCATCGAAATGATGTCTACAGTCTGGGACTTGTTATGTGGGAAATCGTCGAGAGGAGGTATTTGAAGCTATTGCAATGACCTAAAACTGCGAATTTCAAGTTATTTACTACTTAGAAATTTTGCACATTATTAATTGCTGTTTGAAGTTACTTTGAAATCAAGACCATGTCTTGATGGTTTCGGAGAAATTATTATTTTCAGAGTGGTCTTCTCTCAGTATGAAATAGAAGGAGACTTCCATCGGGATATTCTATTGATTGAGATTGTATGGAAACGTTATCTTGAAATCGAACTACCAAACTGCCAAACCGAACTTCAAGAAATCATTCTAAGGTACTTTCTTAAATTGTGAGCTTGAACGGTATTTTCAGGTGTACAAATTTTCGACGCTTCCGTAGACCGACTGCGGGTGATGCTTTGGAGCTTCTTCGGAGGATCGCAACGGTCAGTACATTTAATGATCAAGGTATAATTAATAGAATCTAGAAAGATCCATTCATCTCAACATTATCTTTTTTACCAAAAAAAGATAAACAACAAAAGTCTCTGATTAGACCGATTGGTTTCAATGGGGAGATAGATGAGATTGTCGTCGCTTATCATCAAGAGGGAAAAGAAATCTTTCAACCCTCTGACCCCACTTTAACGAATAACAAAAGGATTCGAGCGATCGCAAAACTTGAAGAGTTTGATAGATCAAAAACAATAGGTCGTGCCGGTTATGGGAGGACAGTGTATTTAGTCACAAAAAATGAAAAGTGGGCTTTTTGAACTTCCTGCAACGATTCCTGATTGAAATATTGTTTTCTTTCGAATAATCAATTTCTTTGTTGTAACAGAAAAACACAATAGCTGATAACGGGTCTTTTATTGATGAGTGTAATCGCTTTATAAACTATTAACTTACGATTTACCTCAGGCCATAGGCCCTACACTTATCCACTTATCCCTTATAGGTAAACACTTATCCCTTATAGGTAAACACTTATCCCTTATAGGCAGACGATCATCAAAAGCATCGAGTGCCAAAGTTTTTCCACCCGGAAAAATCGCCAAAAAGAATACGAGATACTAGCGATGCTGAGGCATAAAAATGTCATTGCACATCTCAAAACATGGGCACTCAGTGAGAAGGAAATTGGAATCGAAATGGAATATTGTGATCGAGGAACGCTCCAAGAAGGTTTGGTTTTTTACTTTGGAACCATGGAAATGTGCATACTTATCGTTCAAATAGTGTGTTTTTGAGCAAAGTGGCAAGAAACCTTTCAAAACAGTACTTTAAACGTATAACGTTTAGTGGTATCCAACCTCAAAATCGTTTATTCAATGGGACAAGTGATCGTTTGGGGCAGGGGTCTTTTTGGCGCCCTTCACTATATCTACAGTAAACATAGAGTGGTTCATCGGGACATCAAACTGGAAAAGTAATCAGGAGCCCAATAAATCTTAGTGTTAAAACGAGTTATAGCATTTTCGTGAACAAGACCTTCGACCCAAAACTCGGAGATTTTGGAACAGCGCGAGAAGTCGATGAGACTCTCAACAACGGAACACCGGATAGCGGAACGCCGCGATACATGAATCCAGACATAAATAATCTTTCCAAGGTAAGTAGCAGCTAATTCTCGCGTCTGTGATATTGAGAGTCTTGACATTAATTTTAGGCATCTCATCGAAACGACGTTTATTCGATGGGGCTCGTGTTGTGGGAGATTATTGAGAGAAGGTGCAAATAATAATACACTCTCATAAGAAAAGCATAAATATACACTGTTAACTCAAATCTATTTCTTTCTTTCTTTTGCCCTCTTTCTCGTTGACAAAGAATGTTTCCGGTAGCTTAGTGGGTAGAGCATTAGCGGCTCAAGCAGAAGACGCGGTTTCGAATCTCACTCCAAAGCTTTTTTTTCAAAATTTATTTATTTTTTAAAGCACCGTGTTCATGGAGTACGGCAAGAAGTTTGAGCGAGACCGATTCATAACCGATATTGCGTTACTCAAACTGACTGAATTAATCGCACCCGAATCCCCGCAGCCAATTCAAGAGATCGTGAAAAAGTATGGAGTTGAAGTATGGAGCTTTTTTACCATTCATTACAGATGCACCGTTTTCAATTATCGAAAAAGACCTCTTGCCAAAGAGATTGTCGAGCAGCTGAAACAATTGGATGAGGTGGGTGATTGGACGGAAGCTTTATGTTATGTTTAGGAATTTTGGGAAAAACGATTCTAGGCGGGAATCTAACCCTGATTTGTCAACAAGAAAGGGGGAATAAAAAAGAAAAAACAAAGAAGGAAATGCCTGATATTATTCAGCCGTGAGCTCCGGCTCTACTTGAAGAATAGTACACCAGGCATTATTAATAAAGAAAATTAGGCAATTCGGCAATTCGGCAAAGAAGGCTTTCAAGCCGTCAGTGAGCATGTTGCCAGAAGGATTCATATTTTGAACAAATTCGCCCAAGACAAAAACAAAATAAGTGCGCTCACTTTAGAGCTTTATCACGAAATACACTTTCTAAGGATTACGAAAGTGGTTGTTGCGATAAGAAACTTTCGGAAATAAATTTTTTAACTTATAGAGCGGATTTTTCCCGACAATGATCGAAGAAGACGAACAAACGAGTGAGCTCATCCGCCCGATCGGTTTCAACGGAGGCGGTGAAAGAGTGCCGGTGTCAAAGAAAACAACCGAAGATCACCCCGACCCATCCATCCAGTCTACTACTCATAGGCACAACTTTACAACGAATGAGTCTGAGCGTTCCGCCAGAGGAGATTAAAAGTTTTTGAGTATTGCTTTTTCTGATAAGTGCCCATTGATGTGAATAAAATCTGATGCAGTGTAAATGAATTTTTTTTGATCGAATCGGATCCGTGTCCAATTGGATCCGATCTGATTGGATGTCTAATTTACAAGAAACCGGTGTGGACAGAAAGGACAAATGACGAGAGAACGAGGAGCTGGCAAAACTTTTCACTCGGGCGAAATAAGAGAGTTCAAAAGAAAAATCAAGTTAGCAGAATAAAAACGGTAAACTGTCTTGCTTCACCATCTTTCTTATCATTTTGGTTCAATGGCTCACTCTTCACTTTCACGTCAATTTGTCTTGGATTGATCGCCATTGATGCACGTAACCTCTGAAAGCGAGGGTTTTTTATAATTTTCCCTATCCTGTACTCTTCCGAATTATTGCTCTGTCCGCCCTTAGCGCATCTGACGATGAGCCGGAATCTGAGTTGTCAGGTTATTCCCGGAAGGAGTTCTAAAGTTCTAAAAGGCCTTTCGGCCTACTCGATTTTCTTCTCCCAGGTATAGAGGGATTTGAGCTCAGGCAGCGCGCGAAGCCCTATAGCTAACTCTATAGCTAGCTAGCTCTATAACTCTATGGTTCGATCCTCACTAGCCCTCGGAGAGGTGGTGAAGGGTGAAGGCCGCACATCCGCGCGAAAGTGTGGCCTCTAGGATTTTTACGTTTGAATAGCCATTCGACACAGAAAAGTGTCCTGAATACGAAACTAAAAAAATTTTTCAAAACCCTCCGACAGATTTTTTACAAATGGAGTTTTACTGATTTTACAGTATTTAATTTCCGCTCGGCCAGCCGACAAACTGAAAAGAACATATCTAATAAAGCTCGTGAAGCTCGCAAGTCAACATCTCGGTCGGGTGGGTGGCTCACTAACTCGACCCATCACCAAAAACCTGCCACAATTAAATCAGAATGAATTTTCAACCAAATTTCCCCGCTTTTTCAACTACAAACTGCAGTACTTCAACGCAAAATCAAATACAGTCTTTGAGTCAGTAAACAAAATGAAAAAAACCGGCATCTATCGAGCTCAAGGATCAAAGGTAGATACAACTAAAGTGATTCAAGCACTCGTAGTTTAGATGAACCCTCGTCAACGTGTGCTCAACTCTGTCTACCGCACCAACATCGATGCTTTGCACTTCAGGAAAACCGAGATCTCGCGTTTACATCAAAATAATGGGTTGACTTTTTATTTAAAGCCTTTTAAAGGGTCGTTTTAGAGAAAATCTCACTGATGAGCGCATTGCACAAATCAAAGCGCTGAGTAAACGGGAGGATATCATGGAAATTCTCGCGAATGCCATAGGTTTGTTTGAGATTTAATTCGTTTTGCAACGAGACTTTAGCACCTTCGATCTATGAGCATATGGATGTGAAGAAAGGAATTCTTTGTCTTCTCTTTGGCAGAACGAGAAAAGAGGATGAGCGCACACAGAAGACAAAGTTGCGCAGTGAAGTGAGTTGTTTAGGACAAAGCTAAAACTTGGTGATTGTCGATTAACTGGTTAAATTTAGATCAACATTCTGCTTTGTGGAGACCCTGGAACTGCCAAGTCGCAACTGCTGAAGTACGTCTTCCATTTGTTGCCTCGTTCGCAATACACCTCTGGAAAGGGGTCATCGGCTGTCGGGTGAGCGGAATGAAGTTTAAAACTATTAAGTGTTGTGCCTGTGTTAGAGTTGTTGAATTACGATTGTTTTTGCTTTTTTCTAAACCGAAAATTTCAGTTTAACGGCCAGTGTTGCAAGAGATGCTGATACAAAGTAAGTTTTGTGCTAATTTTCGATTCAAGCAATGATTCTAGACAATTGGTTCTTCAAACGGGAGCTCTTGTGTTGGCCGACAATGGTGTTTGTTGCATTGATGAGTTCGACAAAATGAATGAAGGAGCAAGATCCGTGCTTCATGAGGTGAATTGCTGTTTGGAATGCAAAGCTAGTCAAAATAGAACTTTGATAGGTTTTTGATTTAGGTTATGGAACAGGAAACTCTATCGATTGCCAAAGCGGGTATCATTTGCCAATTGCACGCGAGAACGTCGATCCTTGCTGCTGCAAATCCGGTCGACTCAAAGTGGAATCGTGACAAGACAATCGTTCGTTTTTTTTTGTTGTTTTGCTTGCTGCTAACCCACAACATTTAGGTCGACAACATTCAAGTATATGCTTTGTGGAAATGATCAACAATTAGAGATTTTCAAAAATGAATGTGAAGCTTTGAAGAAGATCTATCATGTAAATATTGTCCGATTGTATCGATATACAGAAGAAGGAATACAAGTGGGAATTGTAATGGAATATTGTCAGAAGGGACCACTCAAGGGAGGTTGGGATGGGACTGGAATTGTTATATCTTAGAGTTTAGTCATTCTTGATCCAACAATTACATATTCATGAACACTGTTCTCACCTGGGGAATCCAATTATTTGATGCCATTCGTTACATGTATCAGGAACACAAATTGGTACATCGAGATATCAAACCAGACAAGTAATATTTAGTGGTATAAATGTCGAAGTTCAATACATTTATAGCATTTTTGTGACTAATGAATACCAGCTGAAGATTGGTGACTTCGGATTGGTAAAAGTAGTGGGAGATGGAACCTTTACGGGGACGTTTATTGGAACACAACGATATATGAGTCCACCTGAAAGGAAAGAGGATGGGGTACAACGGGATGTTTATGAACAAATAAAGGAGGCTGATGTATCGGTTAGTTTTAACTTCTTTTCTATTTAATGATAAGACATATTCATCCCAGAATTCCCATCGAAATGATGTCTACAGTCTGGGTCTTGTTACGTGGGAAATCATCGAGAGGAGGTATCCATGTATAAATAGCGACCTCCTTTGAGATATTTATAAGACTTCAAAACAAAATTTTCACTGTTTTAGAACCATTTTCACAAACTATGAGATGTCTGGAGGGTTTCAGCGTGACCAGTTAGTATTTGATATTGCCATCAAACGTGTTACTGAAATCGAATCACCAGAATGTCAATCAGAGATTCAAAAAATCGTCTCGAGGTATGGATTTATGATTTTCCTTTATATTTTAAGAATCCAACTATCAGATGTACTAACTTTCAACGTATTCTTCGTCCACCAGCTTCTGAAGTTTTGGATATCCTTAAAACATATAAAGTAAGCTTTTCTCGAAGAAGTTGATTTTCTTGTTTACTATTATATTGGGTTGGAAAGTAAGAAATCTCGTCAATTTCTTTTCACTCCTATTTCCTTATTTTGCAATAAAAATAACAATTGTGGTAAAATAGCTGAGAACGACCGGATTCAAGGTGACTTATTTTCACATGCCATGAAAATCCGTGTTCCATCACTAAAGTTCTTCTTTCTTTCAAAATATACAGCGGGAACTTGAAAATAGTTAACCTTAAGATCTCAGGTAAATTCATGTTTAAAACAATTATAAAAGTACTTCTTGGTGATGATGTTCACGCCGATCTGTGGACAAACATCTCCAAAGCAAGCGTTCTCAGAGTGCAAACTGCCTAAACGCCCACTCTCTGGAATACAGCCGGCTGTGTCTGGTTACACAAGCATGAAAGGCTTTTCCACAAACTAACTTGGTTTTCTGCAGTATTTTTCTAATATTTTTCTCGTTGTTTGAGCCATGAAATTTGCTGAGATTTTAAGGTTAACTATTTTAAAATTCCCGCTGTAGATTTTGAAAGAAAGAGGAACTTAGTGATGGAACACGGGTATACATGGCATGGGAACATGAGTCAACGTCAATCCGGCCTTTTTCAGCTATTTTACCACAAAAAATTTTTGAAACTTGAATTCTTGGTAGTCCTAAGAATTCGACATAAACCTTCGAAATTTTAGCTATTTTAATGGTAAATAAGAAACTAGGAGTGAAAAGAAATTTGCGAGGTTACATAAATTTCCTTCACAATAGTAAGTTTCTTTTTTGTTGAGATTTTATACTTCTCAAATATAATAACCTAGACAAATCAATCCATCTCTTCACTCCCTTTTATGCCCACCGAAGATCGGGACCAAAAAGAACTGATGAAACCAATTGGATTTGATGACAGGACAGAATGGGTTATGGTTCAACCTGAAGAAAGAAAATTTGAAAAGAGACTCGAGGAACATAGAAGTTCGGGCATCGAAAATATGCGAAGTGTTATTGACATGTTGCCTAAAGAAATATTATTGAAAGAAAGTTCCAAAAAGTAAGTAAACTTTCAAAAAAAAGTAAACTCACAACTTCATTATTAGAAGGTATCCAGCATCAACAAGGCCTGTTCCATTCTAGAAAACAACAAAAATGAAAGCGCTTTAGGCCTTTAAGGTAGAGACTTGTCTCGTTATGACCTATAGATTATGGCGCTCTGCTGAACTTTAACGTCAACAAACTCCGAACGCTAATTTACTTTTCGAAATAATGACTAGAATGAAGTACACAATTATTACTCCAATCACTGAGGTTAATCCACCCCTTTGTGCACTAAACGTGGGAAATCGGGTCGGGTCGGGCCAAAAGTTGGCCCCAAATCCTTATTCAAAGCTTTATTTTCCTTTAGCACAAACAGTAGATTTACTTGATTTTTTGAAGATTTTCCGTCTTTTATTTCGGAGTGCCATTTTCCCCCGAAAATCCAACTAATTGGGCTGAGCTTGCAAATTCTTAACATCGTTGTACCGATTTAGTTTTTAAAAAGTCAAGATCTACTTAATTTTAACTTTTTTTTAGGGATCACATTGGGAATTTCAATCGACACGAATGGGGGATCGGTTGTGATTCGGAAAAGAAGTCGAGAAGAAAAAGGGGATGAGAGAAGCAATTGGGAAAGGGAAATGAGAGACAATGAAAGAGAATTGATGGCAATTGAATTGAGGAGGGGAAGCACTGTCGGCTAGACGGGTGAGTTGTGCATCAAGTGGGCAATTGAAGCGGATAGAAAATGGAACGAGTAAGAGTCACATTTCTATT